ATGGCATCATAGCTCACAGCCCCCTCAAACTCTTGGGCTCAAGCAGTCCTCTTGCCTCAGCCTCCCAAGTAACTGGGACTACAGGCACCTGCCACTGTGCCCAGAGAGGGTCTCACTCTTGCTCAGGCTAGCCTCAAACTCCTGAGTTCAAGCAGTCCACCCACCTTGGCCCCCCCAAAGAGCTGGGATTATAAGTGTGAGACACCACACCCAGCCTAATGCTCAACGTTCCTAATCATCAGATAAATATAAATTAAAACCACAGTAAGATACTACCTTGTACCTATTAGAATGGCTATTATCAAAAAGATGAAAGATAACAAGTGTTGGAAAGGATGTGAGGAAATCAGAACGCTTGTACATTGTTAATGGGAATGTAAATTTGTATAGCTATCGTAGAAACCAGTATGAAGCTTCCTCAAAAAAATAGAGATAAGAGCTACCATACAATCCAGGATTTCCAGCACTGGGCATTTATTGAAAGGATATGAAATTAGTATGTCAGTACTAATATCAGCATTTCTATGTTCATTGCAGTATTCCTGTAGCCAAGATACAGAATCACCCTGAATGTCCATTAGTGGATGAATGAATAAAGAAAATATGGTGTATATATAGCAATTAAATACTACTGGGTTAAATAAAAGAAGGAAATCCTGTCACTTGTATGAACCTATCTATGTATGAACCTGGAAGATATTTATGCTACATGAAATAAGCCAGCACAGAAAGATGAATAGTATATGATCTCGTTCATATGTAGAATCTAAAAAAGTTGGACTCAGAAATAGAGACTAAATGATGGTTGCCAGAGGTTAGGGGTTAGAAGGATTTGGGGAGATGCTGGCCAAAAGACACAAAATTTCAGTTATAAGGAATAAATTCAAGGGATCTGTTGTACGTCGGGTAACTACAACTAACAATATATCATATACTTGAAAATTGCTAAGAGTATTAGGTGTACTCACCATAAAAAGTACCTGTATGTGAGGAGATGCATATGTTAAGTATTGCATTGATTTAGCCATTTTACAATATGTGTATGAGAAAACAAAACAAAAAAATGGGGGGTGGGGTGCCTATTTTCCTATCCTAGAGTATTCCCTGAGATAATAGCAAATGTATAATACCTTTAGGGCCTGTGGTGCAACTTTCTCAGAATGTGGATCATACGCTACATTCTGTAGTATCTCTGAGGTGGAACCTTGGAGTCTGGTTTTTAATACACACCCTAGATGACTTTTATGTACTCTAAAATTTCAGAACTATAGTTCTAGTTAATATTTAGAACTGACACACAGGGCTCAGCGCCTGTGGCTCAAGTGGCTAAGGCGCTAGCCACATACACCTAAGGTGGCGGATTCGAATCCAGCCCGGGTCTGCCAAAAACAACGACAGTTGCAACCAAAAAATAGCTGGACGTTGTGGCGGGCGCCTGTGTCCTCAGCTACTTGGGAGGCTGAGGCAGGAGACTCGCTTGAGCCCAGGAGTTGGAGGTTGCCGTGAGCAGTGAAGCCATGGCATTCTACCCAGGGGGATAGCTTGAGGCTCTGTCTCAAAAAAAAAAAAGAACTGACACCCAGAAGCATTGGGAAAATGACTTACGTTTCTGAAAATGAGGGCTGTCTCAAGTCAGTGGATACAGAAGAGAATGAGTTGCAAGGTTATATATCAGATTACAGATTGTTTTGTTTTTCTTGTATAGGACTATAAGGTGAGTTTAATTTTCAATGGTATTTGTATTTTTTCCCCCAAACCTGGGTGGGGGAAACTCATATGGAAACCAGACTTAGCTAAGGGGTAATATTTATTGAGTATTTAAGTGCCTGGCACTAGGCAAAGCGCTTTATCTACATTTTGTCACATTAAATCCTTGGTTTGTTCCATTACTGAGGCACAGAGAGGTTAAGTAATTTGCCAAGGGTTATATTATTAGTAGTGGAGCTGGGATTCAAATTAATTGTCTGGCACAAAAGTCAAAGAACTCTTTATCATTCTACTATGCTTCCTTTACATTTTAAGATTAGAAAAATTAAAGTGTGGGCTCAGCGCCTATAGCTCAGACACTAGGGCACCACCCATATACACCAGAGCTGACAGATTCAAATCCAGCCTGGACCTGCCAAACAATAATGACAACTATAACCAAAAAATAGCAGGGCGTTGTGGCAGGCACCTGTAGGCCCAGCTACTTGGGAGGGTGAGGCAAGAGAATCACTTAAGTCTAAGAGTTAGAGGTTGCCGTGAGCTGTTACGTCACAGCACTCTATCCCAGGCAACAGCTTAAGACTCTGTCTCAAAAAAAAAAAAAACAAGAAAAGAAAAATTAAAGTGTGTGTGTATGTTTGATTTTATTGTCCTAATAGTGTTTATATTTTTATTTGATACATGAATTATTTATGTGGAGTACTTAGCTATGTTATGTATTACATGGTTTTTGGTGAGCTTCCTGGGAAACCATTTATAATTTTTATGAAAAAAGTTTTTAAATTTTACACAGGAAATTATAACTGCTTATTGCATAATCTTCTTATAAATGTAAGGTTATATATATGTATATGTGTAATTTAAGTAAATAAAATAAAATAATGCTTGGTCAGCGGTAGAGTTTTTTATTTTTCTGATTGACATGTGTAGATACTCCACGTCCTACAAGTCATGCCCGTCCACCATCAACCAGTTTGATTTATGATTCCGACCTGGCTGTCTCTTATACTGACCTGGATAATCTCTTCAATTCTGATGAAGATGAACTAACAGTAAGTAATCCATTAATGATTAAGATAATAGTTTTTTCTTTTCTTTCCCTCACTCTTTTTCTTTTTCTTTTTGTTTGTAGAGACAGAGTCTCATTTTATCGCCCTCAGTAGAGTGCCGTTGTGTCACACAGCTCACAGCAACTTCCATCTCCTGGGCTTAGGCGATTCTGCCTCAGCCTCCTGAGCAGCTGGGACTACTGGTGCCTACCACAACTCCCGGCTATTTTTTTGTTGCAGTTTGGCCGAGGCTGGGCTTGAACTCGCAGCCCTCAGTATATGGGGCCAGCACCCTACCCACTGAGCCACAGGTGCCACCCCCCCCACTTTTTTTTTTTTTCAGGCAGAAATTCTTGCTCTGATCCCCAGGTAGAGTGTAGTGTCGTCATCATAGATCACAGCAATCTCAAATACTCTTGCCTCAGCCTCCCGAGTAATACACTACCACACCTGGCTAATTTTTAAATTTTTTATAAAATGGGGTCTTGGTATGTTGCCCAGGTTGTCTATGAACTTCTTACGTCAAGCTGTCTTCTTACCTCAGCTTCCCCAAATGTTAGGATTATAAGCATGAGGCACCTCACTCAGCTAGTTTTATAATAAAAGTCTCATTAATGTTTGTTTGTTTTTTTGAGACAGAGTCTTACTTTGTCACCTTCAGTAGAGTGCTGTGGCATCACAAGCTCACAGCAATCTCAAACTCTTAGGCTTAAGCAATTCTATTGCCTCAGCCTCCCCAAGTAGCTGGGACTATAGGCGCCCACCACAATGCCTGGCTGTTTTTATTTTTTGGTTGTAGTTGTCATTGTTGTTTGGCAAACCTGGCCTGGATTCTAACCCACCAGCTCCTGTGTATGTGGCTGGCACCCTAGCCACTGAGCTATAGGCACTGCACCTAATGGGATCTTTGTTGATTGTTTTTAAATCTCATATTTGAGTAGTCTTGACATAGTGTCACCTATAAACTGTAGAGTTGGGTTTTCTCCTTTTGTTTGCATATTTAACACATGATTAAGCTTAATTTTAGCTCTGCCGTATTCTTTTTTGTAGTTTTTAGGAAGGAGAATTACTTTCCTATTTTTTAATTTTCTAGTTTGGGCTTGGTGCCCATAGATCAGTAGTTAGGGTGCTGGCCATATACACCAGGAGCTTGTGGGTTCTAACCTTTCCCAGGCCTGCTAACCAACAATGACAACTACAACAAAAAAAATCGCTGGACGTTATGGTGGTTGCCCTTAAGTCCCAGCTATTTGGGAGGCTGAGGCAAGAGAATCACTTAAGCCCAGATTTGAGGTTGCTGTGAGCTGTGATGTCACAGCACTCTACTGAGGGTGACATAGTGAGACTCTGTCTCAAAAAAATAAAAAATAATTCTGTAGTTTGAGAAATTATTCTGACATAGACTTGTTTAGAGAATATGTAAGTAATTAATGTTAAAATTACATACTTTGACAATTCGTTAAGGAATATCACTTCAGGCTCAGTGCCTGTGGCTTAAATGGCTAAGGTTCCGGCCACATACACCTAAGGTGGCAGGTTCGAATCCAGCCCAGCCCACCAAACAACAATGACAGCTGCAACCAAAAAATACCCAGGCGTTGTGGCAGGCACCTGTGGTCCTAGCTACTTGGGAGGCGGAGGCAGGAGACGCTCTTAAGCCTAGGAGTTGGATGTTGCTGTGAGCTGTGATGTCACGGTACTCTACCCAGGGCAACAGCTTGAGGCTCGGTCTCAAAAAAAAAAAAAAAAAGGAATATCACTTCTTTTGAATTAATTTTGCTCCACAGCTATTAAGACAGGTACATACTATAACAATGAAAGCAGAAAGATGTAGTCTTTAACACCATTTACAGAGAAAGGTGAAGGTAAAAGAAATTAAAACTAGATTTTCTTTCTAGCATATCAGGTCTCTGGCAAATTAATGAATTGGGTACTTCATTATTATACAAGAGAACTCCTTTTTCATGAATTGGGTGCTTCATAATTATACAAGAGAATTTCTTTTTCATATGCATAAAAGTAGCCTGGAAACTTCTATGGTACAGTTGATTTTTCTTTCTTGTCCTATATAACATATACTTTTAATCCTCTCAGAGTATGTGTCTATATATGTATATGTGTATATATACATGCATATATATGGTAGATACATCTGTACATAAACTTTGACTCTATCTCATAATGTTGTATATTTTAGGGCACCCTTGACCGAATGAATGTGTATCCTTGAATACTTTCATACATTTCTACTTTCTCTCTGCTACCATTAACATATCAGCTGTGGTTCCTCTAAGGTAGAAAGGTTGTAGTGAGAGCTCAGTCTACATATTTATCATAAAGTGTCTAACAGAAGAAATGGAACAAATGTTGTCAGCTCTAAAAACATTGGTGATACCTTGAAGATGGTAAAACTTGGTTCATCGAGTGCATTAAAACTTAGTTTTAGCTAGGCATTCTATTTTTTCATGAGATCTTTGTTCGTGAAGTTTTTGCTTTGTTTTACCTTTTATGATATTTTTGCACAGTAAGGAGATTATTACAACAAGGTAAAAGTATATAAGGATTTAGAGGGAAGATTGATTATATAGGAGACTTGATATCTTATACTTACTAGGACAAATAGTTTACAAGTATCTTTTACTAAGAAGCAATTCTATCTCCTTTGAATGTTCAGATGGGGGGGGAAGCAATTCTGATAATTATAAATTCTTCTTATTGCAGGTTTTTTCTTTTAATGGATTTTAAGTTTTAGCATATTCTTGCTTCTCATGTGTTTTTTGTCCTTTTTTTTATTAAATCATAGCTGTGTACATTAATGCAATCATGGGGTACAATGTGCTGGTTTTATATACAATTTGAAATATTTTCATCAAACTGGTTAGCATAGCCTTCATAGCATTTTCTTAGTTATTGTGTTAAGACATATTCTACATTTAAATTTCACATGTACCCTTGTAAGATGCACCGTAGGTGTATATTTAAAATGTTGGTCATCTTTGGTTGAACTTTTCCCTCTCAATTTGGAGGCTTATCAAATAAATATTCAGATAAATTAATCTGGAGTCAGTGATTGTAAAAGATACATTTTATATCTTTAAACTACATCTAGTAAGTATTTGGCTCTATCATACATCCAAAATATTACCTTTAATGAAGGGGTTTAAGTTATGTCTGAATGATTACTACTTTGAGATTATATTGAATGTAAAACTTCAGATAAATATTGCTTTTTTAAAATAGCCTGGATCTAAAAAATCAACGAATGGATCAGACGAGAAAGCCAGCTGCAAGGAGTCAAAGACAGGAAATCTGGACCCGTTATCTTGCATAAGTAAGCTTCCCAAATCTGTGCTCCAGATAAATTTACAACTTTTAATCTGAACAAAGCTCCCCGTTCCCTTTGTTTTAAACACAGATTCACCTATTTTTAGTCTTATGTTAAAATGTGTGTTTTATTAAATATAGGCACTGCAGATCTTCATAAGATGTATCCTACACCACCATCATTGGAACAACATATTATGGGATTTTCCCCAATGAATATGAATAATAAAGAATATGGTAGTATGGATACAACACCTGGAGGAACTGTTCTAGAAGGAAATAGTTCTAGTATAGGAGCACAGTTCAAAATTGAGGTTGATGAGGGATTCTGTAGCCCAAAACCTTCTGAAATTAAAGTAAGTATTTTATTTTTCTAGAAAAATAATTCCCTTCCTATATTTTCTTATAGAGTTAGTTTGTTGGTATATTCAAAAATCCTTTCATAGTGATTTTAGTTTTGTAGCTGACAAATTTGAGGACTGAATTGTGGTAACACTATTAAGATTGCATTTAAGAAAGAATAGAATTATTCTTCTCTTTTATTCTGTTTAAAGAAAGGAAAATAAATCCAGAGTCAGTTTGGGTTTTTTCTTTGTTTTTTTCCCCCTGAAAGATAAGATACTGAAAGCCCATGGTCTTTATATTGTAGGATTTTTCTTATGTCTATAAGCCCGAAAATTGTCAAGTTCTGGTGGGATGTTCCATGTTTGCACCTCTAAAAACTCTACCAAGCCAATATCTGCCACCTATCAAATTGCCAGAAGAGTGTATTTACCGTCAGAGTTGGACTGTTGGAAAGTTGGAATTACTTCCTTCGGGACCTGCGATGCCATTTATCAAAGATGGGTATGATTTATGTTATTAATATAGTATGTGAATGCTTATACATCTTTATTTTTTCTCCAAAGAACCATTAGGCACGCTGGAAGAAGAATATTTGTTTTCAAAAACTCTAAAAGTTTTTTTTTGTTCTTTTGAGACAGAGTCTCACTATGTCACCCTCAGTAGAGTGCTATGGCATCACAGTTCACAGCAACCTCATACTCTTGGCCTTAAGTGATTTTCTTGCCTTAGCTCCCAAGTAGCTGGGACTACAGGCGCCTGTTACAATGCCCAGCTATTTTTTGTTGTAGCTGTCATTGTTGTTTAGCTGGTCTAGGCTGAGTTGGAACCTGCCACCCTTGGTGCATGTGGCTGGCGCCATAACCACTGTGCTACAGGCACCTAGCCAACTCTAAAAGTTTTTTGTGGGTGGTGCCTGTGGCTCAGTGGGTAGGGCGCCAGCCCCATATATCCAGGGTGGCAGGTTTGAACCTGGCTCCGGCCAGCTAAAACAGCAATGACAACTACAACAACAACAAAAAAAGCCGGGCATTGTGGCAAGCGCCTGTAGTCTCAGCTACTCAGGAGGCTGAAGCAAGAGAATCGCTTAAGCCCAGGTGTGAGGTTGCTGTGAGCTGTGATGCAATAGCACTCTACTGAGGGTGACAAAGTGAGACTCTGTCTCAAAAAATAAATAAATGTTTGTTGATTAATTATAATGGTAATAGTTGGGTATGGATAAACTATTGGAAGACTTGGCCGGTGCCTGTGGCTCAGAAGGGTAGGACGCCAGCCACATATGCTGGAGGTGGCGGGTTCAAACCCAGCCCCTGGCCAAAAAAAAAAAAAAAACTATTGGAAGACGTAAGAACATTATGCTTTGTCTTCAGAAGTACCTTTTCCTTTGCTCATTTGTACATTTGCTCTGTTTCCCACATTTTACATCATAAAATCTATGAATTTGTGGTATCTTAGCATTGGTAGCATCTTTTTTGGTTTTTTTGAAACAGGGTCTCACTATGTTACCGTTGATAGAGTGCTGTAGCATCACAGCTCACAGCAACCTCAAACTCTTGGGCTTAACCTCCCAAGTAGCTGGGACTACAGGTACCCACCACAACACCCGGCTACTTTTTTGTTGCAGTTGTCATTGTTGTTTAGCAGGCCTGGGCTGGGTTCAAACCCACCAGCTTCAGTGTATATGGCCAGTGCCCTAAACATTGATCTAAGGGCGCCAAGCCTATTGGTAGGTAGCATCTTAAAATTACCATTTTCTCTTTTTTCTTTTTAGAGACAGAGTCTCGCTTTATTGCTCTCAGTAGAGAGCTGTGGCGTCACAGCTCACAGCAACCTCCAGCTCTTGGGGTTAGGCGTTTCTCTTGCTTCAGCCTCCCAAGTAGCTGGGACCTACAGGCACCTACCACAATGCCCGGCTATTTTTTTGTTGCAGTTTGGCCAGGGCCAGGTTGGAACTGAGCCACAGGCATTGCCCCCATTTCCTCTTTTTAAACATGATTGTCTTTAAGATTGTGATTTTATTTTTTTCCAATCAATAACATTGTAGAATCAAAGAAATATGAGTATTTCCAGTATACGAAATTTAAAGGCTTATGTCCAGTATGGTTAAATGGATACAGATTTTAATTCTATTTTAGAACTAGTTGATTGATCCTTAGCCCACAGCAATCACTCTCTAAGTGAATATGTTAACTAGAAATAAGACTTGATTGTATTGGTAATTTCTGTACTCATTGTCTTCTCATAATTTTTAATGTTACTGAGAAGCATTTGAGACATTTTTAGTTCTGTTTCACATTACTAATATTTCTTTGTTTATGTATTTGATTTTCTTTTATCCTCATGACAATAGTGATGGAAGTAACATGGATCAAGAATATGGCCCTGCTTATACTCCTCAAACCCATGCTTCTTTTGGGATGCCTCCTAGCAGTGCACCTCCTAGTAATGGCGGAGCAGGAATTCTTCCTTCTCCATCCACTCCTAGATTTCCAACTCCAAGGACTCCTCGGACTCCTCGTGGAGCTGGTGGACCTGCTAGTGCTCAAGGTTCAGTCAAATACGAAAATTCAGACTTATATTCACCAGCTTCTACCCCATCTACGTGCAGACCTCTTAATTCTGTGGAACCTGCAACTGTCCCTTCCATCCCTGAAGCACACAGTCTTTATGTAAACCTCATCCTTTCAGAATCAGTTATGAATTTATTTAAAGACTGTAACTTTGATAGTTGTTGTATCTGTGTCTGCAACATGAATATCAAGGGTGCCGATGTTGGAGTTTACATTCCAGATCCAACGCAGGAAGCACAATATAGGTGTACCTGCGGCTTCAGTGCTGTTATGAACAGAAAATTTGGAAATAATTCAGGATTATTTCTTGAAGATGAACTCGATATCATAGGACGGAACACAGACTGTGGCAAAGAAGCAGAAAAACGTTTCGAAGCTCTCAGGGCTACCTCTGCTGAACATATTAATGGAGGACTAAAGGAATCTGAAAAATTACCTGATGATTTAATATTATTACTACAAGATCAGTGCACTAATTTATTTTCACCCTTTGGAGCAGCAGACCAAGATCCTTTCCCCAAAAGTGGTGTTGTTAGCAATTGGGTACGTGTTGAGGAGCGGGACTTTTGCAATGACTGCTACCTTGCATTAGAACATGGACGTCAATTCATGGATAATATGTCAGGAGGAAAAGTTGATGAAGCACTTGTGAAAAGTTCATGCTTACATCCCTGGTCCAAAAGAAATGGTAAGTATACTAACAATTTTTTTGGTTGTTTGTTTTCCTTTAGTTGTATGACTTTGCTTTTCTTAGGGAAAGGTATTAAAGCAGTAGTTCTCAACCTTCCTAATTGCCTCGTTGTTACGGAGGGAGAAAAGGGGTCACGACCCACAGGTTGAGAACTGCTGTGTTAAAGGCAGTTTCTTATGTAGCTAATGGAGATGCTCAAACTGGGACTTAAAACTCCTTTCAGGATGACGTTTTTAAAGGGAAAATTTATTCTTAACAATTTAGTTTAATTTCATTAATAAAAGTATGGTTATTATAAATATTAATTATGTACTTATACAGGAATGTAAAAGGCACTTTGCAAATGTGTTAATTAGCAGAAAATTGTTAGTTATGTTCTTTATTCAACATTCTTTTATTCATTGAATATTTATTGAGCGCGTTTTATGTGCTAGGCATTGTCCTTAAATTCACTGTTGAACAAATTAGCCATACTTCTGCCCTTTTTGAGTCTGTAATTTAGTGGAAAAGACAGACAAAAAATTGTATAATAGTAATACGCTTTGAAAAAAGAGAAGCGGCTCGGCGCCTATAGCTCAACCGGC